TTCACGTGATCTTCCACTTTTGTTTCAAGCTTTCCGTAGCTAGATAATATGATGCCTAGATATTTAAACTCCATGACTTGTTCTGTTAACTGACGTTGTAGCTCCAATTTACATCTTAGTAAATTTGCTGTTAATCTATGCATTTTGCCTTTTTTGGAGAAATGAACATGTTCAATTTTCTGGCGGTTGTATTAAATTGGTGCAGCATACGTTGTAAATCATTTTCACTGAGAGACTAGTACTGCGTCTTCCGCATAGCAGATTATGTTAAGTTGTTTTTCTCATATTTGGTAGATATCCTTTTTTAGTTCCTACTTTAATTATTTCATCGATAATCAGGTTGAACAAAAGAGGACTAAGGGAATCTACCTGTCTTATCCCATTGCCAGCTTCAACAGGATCAGTTAGTTCTTCTTCTACTTTCACTTTCATTGTGTTGTTTTGGTAGATATTTTCGATTGTTTTAACTTTTAATAAAGCTATCTCTCCTGCGTACAATAAGTGGATAACGCCCTTTAATTTGACCCGGATTATTATAAGATTTATTTTACTGATCTATAAATAGGACACTGGTACTTAGTGTTATCAAAATGTGCAGTATTTCAGTATTTAGTTGAATAAATATCTGTGCCCAAATCCTTGTATATTTTTTTTTAATTTTACATTTTTTAATGCGGTTTGCATAAAAAGTTTTTTATTTTATCGTATTTAGGAGAAATTATTTCACAATAACTAACATTTTAGCGAATGTTGTTTTAGCGAATGAAATTATTGTGAAATAATATGGACATAACTCATTAATGCAATTTATTAGTGGTTAGCTTAAGCCATTCGGCTACGATGGGGATTTTTGTGACAATAGCAGATACTGTTATAATTTTGACTTTTATACTGGCAAAACAATAGTACTTGCTATGTTAGATTGAATTTTTGAACCTGCAAGCCACTGGGTAGTTTTTAATATTTTTTTTACCAGCAGTTTATTATTTCATTTCATACATTTGGAGGTTGGCAAGAATATAGATGCAACCACTGTGTGCCGTTCTCAGGACTGTGTTACTGTGTATGTGAATCGAGCCGTGTAGAATCACGGATGTTTTTCAGGAACACGTGAAAGTGCATCATATAATCCACGGCACTATCTAGCTTCACATTTATGTCTTAGAAGTGGGGAAACACACAGCGTCAGCTTTCA